ATCATTACAGAAATCCACTGTTCGTGGAGTCACCTTTATTTTTGTTCCGGGACACGCAGGCGTCGATGGAAATGAAAGAGCTGACAGGTTGGCTGGATCCGCTATCACTACCGACGGTCAGCCTATGGATCATGCTGATATTATCAATGCCCTCAGAGAAATAGGAAGAATAGAGGACTTTGGTGGCAGTGAATCCACATCACTCGCCAGAATGGCAGACTTGGGAATTAAGATTGGCACAGCAAAAAACGAGACGCACACCAGCTACGCCAGAAGACTTGTTAATCAACATAGAACTGGTACTATTAGCCATCGGACGTTGGGGTTCATACTGAGGGGAGGATCTGAGTACCTATGGACATGTCCGGAGTGCAATGAGGATAACCCAACTAACTAACTAACTAACTAACTAACTATTGCAGCATCTAATGCATCAAGTACTATGTTTTTCTTCTTCCTCAGCATTCTGAGCCCTTGCAGTTCATTGCTGCAGATATCATTCAAATCCATTAATCTGTGACAGAACCTAACTGCAGGCCTCAGGCATGCAACCATGAAGTCCATCGCAACTGATTGCCAAAGGTGGATAATCTGTGACAGAACCTAATTGACTGGATAGGCCTAACGCATGCAACCATGAAGTCCATTGTAACTGGTCACCAAAGGTGGAGAGAACTTATCAGACAGTCACAGAAACTGGTGGGCCAATCCAATGACACTCAGTGTTACAGGATGATGATGATGAATGAATGAATCTATGACTGGCCCTCTCTTTCCATTTGGTGTCTTCAAGTGTCTGTAGGTCTGCCTGGTATACAATATTATGTAGCTGTCACAAGATAAAGCCTCTTATTCAGTATACAATATTGTGTAGCAGTCACAAAATAAAGCCAGTATAAAAATAACACAAAAACTGCTCTGAAAGAAACAAAAAATATAAACAAATTTTCCATGCAAAGCCTACCTAAAAAAAATGGAGGGAATATAGATAATCGTATGTACCACATTTACAGACTATGCAGTTGCACATACTATGCAGCTGCACATACTATGCAGTTGCAATGCGCACTAAGCAATTATTATTTTTATTAAACACTGCCCAAAAACTTCATGTCATAAAAAAAAAAAAGGAAAACCAGCTTTCTCAGGGTGACAGCGTTAAAACATGTTCCTCGTACAACACTTCAAACCTTCACTACACCTCTTAAGATAATCTTGACAAGGTAAACCTTAACAACCTGCGGCTTTTCCATTCATTTAGAATATCTTACCCCACATCATGGAAATGCAAATTAAGAATGATTTTAAAACAACCTTTTAAATGAAGAAGTTATTAGAAGCGTAGCTGCACATTACTAAGAGACATGTATAAGATGACAACACTTAAATATGACCACAAATATGGTTACACTGTAAGGCTAAGCAGATTTATATGGCATTACAAATTGTATTCACTACTGAGTGACAGAAAATGACACGCAAATGCTGTACAAGTTCAGAAAGTGTGTGTTATGTGCAACTGTTCTTTAAAGAACAAAAAACATATGATGAATATTTCAAATTCTTGCAAAATGATAAATACACTCTCAGAGACATAGGTCTTAACTAGCAACGGGACTTACACATTGGTTACATGCATACACTTTATTTTCTTTCTCCAAAACAGAGACGGGCTGCAGTAGATATCTGTATCTATTGCTGTCTTTAGGAATATCTGGTAAGGCCTCAATAGCTTCCACAGCCAGTCTAGTACCACTGTCCAAATGCCATGAAGTCTTTTTCTGAAATGCCCCACAAGGAAAACCTGGCATGATGAAGTAGTGCGATGCATGCACCAACTCTAAGCCACATAGATGCATTATGTCTGTTGAAGAGGGACACATATGATAACAAAGGAAGCCAACAATCTCACTACATATTAGAGATATCTTCTGGACTTTCTGACAACACACCATAGGATGAAGATCTGAAGGATTTGTGCATTCCTGAAGATAAGCTTGGATTTGAAACACCCTCTGCACAAAGTTCTCTTTAGGAAAACGGGCGACAGGCTAAAAAGGGACAACTCATGGCTTGGTAGGGCAAAGGACACCATCATACAGGTCTGCAGTTTTACAGACATCAACCTTGGCGAAGAACGGATACCTGTGCCCCAGCTGCTTAAATTTGCCTTTTCTTGTCTTGTCATGGTTGAAAGGAGCTGTCGGGAGCAGAATCCAGTTGCTGTGAATGCAGAGGTCCACGCGCTTATATGTGAAAATTCAGATGTGGCGGACCTCATCCACCACACAGCTACAAGGAAACCAAAACAGCGCTAAAGCAGCCTTTCAAGCAGGAGTGGAGAAGGCAGAATGGAGATTATAGACCAGAGAGTGACAGCATAAACAAACTCAACAGGAAAGAACAAACATCAATTTTTAGACTTCGGACTGGACACTGTGGTCTTCGAGCACACCTGCACAGGACAGGCATAAGCGAATCTGCTGCCTGTGATTGTGGAGCAGAAAGACAGACCCCTGAGCACATACTCCAGTACTGCCCTAACCTCTCCCAGCAAAGACTGTGGTTCTGGCCCAAGGGAGCCACATTGCAAGAGAAGCTATGGGGGGACCGGTGGAGACCTTAAACGCACCATCCTATTTTTGACTCAGACGGGACTCAATGTTTAGTATGACTGATGTCGAACGCAGAAAAAGATGTGGAGGATGCGGATGCACTGATCTACACAGATGGATCGGTTGTACAAGGACAAAAAAAGAGCATGGGCATTTATTGCATGTTGTGTAGGTAGAACAATCCAGAAGGCAAGTGGTGCCTTCAGTATGACAACTAGCAACATGACAATGGAGGTGATAGTGGTTACACAAGCTTTCATGTGGCTAGCATTGCAGGACTATTCTCATGTGTGTGAGCTAAGTGATTCTATGAGTATGATTCAGCGGGTCGAGGTGGGCTTTGTACGCAGACAGTGGATCGAGTCATAGAAAAACTCCACAGTGCATAAAGTTACATTCATTTTTGTCCTAGAGTGTGAGGGTGTTGTTGGCAATGAAGGAGCCGGCAGATGAGCCGGCTCTGCTTTAGTTACAGAGGGCCAACCCATGGATCATGCCGACACTGTTAATGCCATTAAAGAAGTAGGACGTTTGGAGGATTTTGGGAGCAGCACATCCACATCTTTGCTAAGAGTGAAAGAACTGGGAGTAAAGATCGGCGCAGCCAGGCACGAGGAGCACACCAGATGCACAAGAAGTCTTGTCAACTAACACAGGACTGTGACCATCAACAGTGAGATGCTGACGAATATGTTAAAAGGAGAATATGAGCACTTATGGACGTGTCCGGAGTGCCGTGAAGATCACCCAAATCATAACTCAATCTCACTACGTAGGGATATGACCTAATATATGTAAAACCCTTGGTAATGCATAATTCCATGGCAGAATGTAGGGAGTTGTACATAATTTTTAAAACCCTTAGTAATGCAAACTTCCATGGCAGAATGTAGGGACTTGTATATAATTTAAAAAACCCTTAGCACTGCAAACTAGTATGGTAGAATGTGAAGAGTTAGTGACTGGTCACTGGTTTACCACTGAGATAAGCCCCTAACTGATGGAATTTGTTTCTGATCGCAGCAAACTGGTCGATCCAGGGTGGCAAATCAATACCAGACTTTCAATGGTAGCAAATAATAAGAGGAAGGAAGCTCACTGCTCCACAATGTCCTCATCTTCTAATTGTTTAGACTGTTTTATGTTGTCGACATGTTTGTCCACATTAATCTCTAGCCCACACTTCCAACTTGTTCTAATACATATATTCTTCCATATCATGATGCCAAACTGTCCTACATCCTTTCTCTCTCTCTCTCTCTCAAACGTTCCTGCTGACACACCATACCTGTTTTCCCATTCTTTTAATGGTATCTGATATTCTCAAGTAAGTAAGTCAGGTAATCAGTTCTCTGAATGGGTCAGTCTTCTTCAAGACATCTTCAATTTGTTATGTCCTGTTTTCTGCATTTTTCTATACAGCCACACAAGTTAAATGTGAAATCAACACCTACTACTTCCCGTAGCTAATGTTCTTTCCAATCCACCGTGGTGCTCAACAGTGCCAAAGTATTTTAGTTTCCGAGACAAGATGTTCACCAGCCAATTTTTCTTGATGTTCTCGGATCTTTTAGGATGTCAGTATTTCTTTTTCTTCCTGGTCCCCTGGTATTCTAAGAATTTTTTCATAGCATTTAAGCATTTTATTTTTCAGTTCAAAAGACCCTATTTTCTTCCTTAATACTGTGAGAGAGTCCAAAACTACAGTAAAGACTCACATTACAACACAAGTTTAATTAATAATAATAAAGTATTTGTAAGTCGTACATTTTACCAATGATAATATTTGTGCAAGAACCGGAGATGGGGGGGGGGGGGGGGGGGGGGGGGGGGAACACTTGTGTGTTATTATGAGTATGCTAAATACCGGTCATAGAAATAAAAAATGACAGTTTGGGTCATGATCTATGTTCATACATCTTGTTATTAAACACAATAACAAAACACAGCTCAAGCCTTTCACAAAGGATATATATTATTACTGATAAGTTCACAGAAGAATCATACACAAATCTGTCACAAGTAAAATCATGACAGAAATAGCATCTGCCATTAAAAACAGATGAATCCATCAGTTTCAAATATTCAGGTTCTATCATCAGCTTTAAAACAAGAAGCACATGAAAGAAATGCAGCAGAAATAAACACTGATTTTTCAGCACATTATATATTATGTGTATGAAAATAAAAAATAAAACGTGAGTTATTTGAAAATATACTGCCATCATCTGCAAGAAAAGAAAAAACATTTAACTAAAAGATCTTTCCCTTTTAGCTGAACACAAACAGGCAAAAAGGCTAATAGACAAATGTATCAGTGTATCCTTATGAAACATGAAATGAAACAATAATGATAACACTGACAAATGTGGATACAACTAAAAATTACTTTCGGGACTTGGACTTCTTGCCCTTGGCTTTCTTTGCTGGCTTTCTGGTATCATCTGCACTTCCACCTTTTTCTCCTCCACGAGACTTGGATTTACGAGGTGTATACTCCAGCTCTAGCTCACTATCTGCATCTTCTTCACCACTGTCCACAGACGTCTTTTTCTTTAAAGGAGCTGCCTCTTTGGTAGTCTTGGCGGACTTTTGACTTTTCGGTGGAGAAGTTAGTGGCTTAGCTACTGGCTTTTTGCTAGATTTTGGAGTTTGTTTTTTATCTGCTGCCGGGGAAGGATCTTCTTTCACAATAGAAGCTACTTTTCTGGAGGACTTATTTGGCGTGGCCTTACTTGGTGGTGACTTTTCTTCATCTGAAGAATACGAAGATTTACTTGCTTTGTCCAAGTTACTGGAAGGTTTCTCCTCATCAGAAGAATCTGCTTTTCTAGTAGACCTGGGTGTTTTTACTTTACTGGACTTAGCTGCCTTCTTCTTGCTTACTTTCGCTGGTGTTGCATTCCTCCTTGAGCCGCCAGTCGCCAGAGATTTTCTTGGGGCATATTCCGGCTGCACCTCTTCATCCGATGACAAATAATAATCAACTGGTTTATTTGAAGCGGCTCTGGCCAGTTTCTTCTCTCCCTTTGGGGATTTCTTCTGCTTCTTAACAGGTTTCTCTGATTCTTCATCTGATGACTCAGTGTATGAACTGACAGCAGGTCTAGCTCTGCCCCTGTTGCTTGCAGCTGGCTTCTTCTGCACTTTGCTTTTCACAGATTTTTGAGAGACAGTGACAGCTGCCGCAGCTTTGAGTTTAGGGACACCTCTAGACTTTGTTCCTCTCGGGACGTATGTCGGCTCATCATCGGAATCGTAGCCCTCCTCCTCAGATGCGTCATCTTCGCCTGCCAATATTGCTGGGGAGGGTGTGAAGATAGATGTCAGCTGAAATGATCCATTGGCGCCAAGTCCACTCAGCTGCCTGCACAAGATTCAAAGGGTAAAATAATTACAATATGAACAATACTTTTTTTCTGTTACAAAGCAAATACTGCTGCTGGGGTGGGAAATGTCAGGCCTTCTCCTTCACCATTCATTTCTCAGGAAATTTACATAGCCTATTTGTTAAATGTTGAATTAAGAATCGACATCATAGCACTCGGGACACCCCCCTAAGCGCTCCGTACCCATCTTCAGCAGCAAACGAAGAGCCTATCTGTATGAGGCCGAGTTGGCCTCAGCTTTATAACTAGATGCCAGGAGCTCCTTTACTACTGAACCTGCAAGAGAGCTGCTAAACTCCGAGTACTTAAAAGTGTATCACATAATTTAGAACTGGTGTACATGTCCTCTGGTACTGTGAGAGTTTACTGAATTAGAGCTGTTTACTAACTGCACATATTAGTTGCTTACCTACTGAATATACCAGAGTTGCTTACCTACTGAATATACCAGAGATGCTTACCTACTGAATATACCAGAGTTGCTTACCTACTGAATATACCAGAGTTGCTTACCTACTGAATATACCAGAGTTGCTTACCTACTGAATATACCAGAGTTGCTTACCAATCGAATATGCACTGATCTACTGATCATCCTGGATAAATGCTCAACTATTACACATGACGCAAAGTTTTTGCATGAAAAAAAAAACTGTCCCTAATTCTGCACATTTACTTTCTAAAACCAGATTACTTGCTTAGTAACATCATCAAGAATTTTTCAATGCCGCCACTGAGTTCACTCTTTTCCTTATATCTATGATTATCAGGTCAATTACATAGCATATGCACAGTTATTTTATAACTCCAAAGGAGATGAATAAACTGTCAAATAACTCAAAACACTGAAACTACTATACTAAATTGTGACAAACCAACGCAAGATTTCAGTCCGGCAAGAGTTAATTGCATCATGTGGTTAGAAGAATTGCGCACTTAAAACAAACATAGTTGAGTATAGACGTGAGAGGAGTAGAAAATGTACGGATGCGCACATAACTTATGACGTTTTCGTAGGTTACTAGGAGAAACCCTTAGAGCTAGATTCGTCACTACACCAAACGACAACCCCAGCCATTCCATCGGCCTACTACCAAGAACTAATTAATATTAATAATAAAATCATACGATTTCAGGTGAGATTTATAATGGTAGGGAGTAGCTGAGATCCCCTGTAAGCCTTAGTTGTATCCTAAAATATGTTATCGAGATCCTATTCTATATTCTACCATTGTATAAATATTCCGTGACTTCATCAACCTTGATACTTGTCCGTTGGACAATTGTAACTATTTACTAGTCCCTACCTATTATGACGTTCTTAAAGTTACTATTCACAGTTAGGACTATGCAATAGCGAACCCTCCTTCCCTCTGTCATCTTTCCAGAAAATTTTCATTTGGTTTCCTTGCGTAAAGATCTTACAGTATAAACCATCATCCTGTGCCATGTGGTATCATCAGTTGGGTATACATTACACTGCTTATGTTTATTATATTATGCAACATATAATTTGAGTAAAAGTCGTCAGCTTTGTGGGCATATAGGGTTGGCCTATGTTTTATAGACCAAGTGGTACTTGGGTGTTGATGTGGTCAACATCACACCTGCCGCCTTTACTCCCCATGACTATAGCTGGTGTCCATTCAAGGCGAAGTCGACCTGGATTTTGGGACTTGAACTAATGACTGTCCAATCCGCAGGCGAGTGTGTGTCCACTTAACTATGTCAAGTTTCTTATGATCGTGCAATAATTTAGATATGTATAAAACAATATATTATAACAGGGTGGAGAGATTTATTAGTAATTTGCTTGTGGAGAAAGACAAAACATGAACCTTGCTCTTTCCCTTACTAATCTGAAAACACCACAAACACCTCCACCTGCCCAGATGTGTCGACATAATGCTCAACACAGGGCTGAATGATATATTTCTCAGGTTCCTGTTACCCCGTGGATCGTGAACCACACAGTATAGAATGGAAAACCGAAATGCATGGATGAATGTCGCAGACAGCCAAGTACTATAACTGTTGCAGCCAGAACCTTGTCCATACCTCCCAAAGAAGCTACAGTTCGACACATTCCTACTATCGGAAAGCTTAGTGACATTTGATGTTTGTTCAGAGTTATGTGGTGTAAATGATGAAACCGTGATTGATTTTCTCTGTGTTAATTTGAAGATTGTTGAATTTCTTAAACAGTATTTTATCAATACAGTTGTTGTTTAGAAAACTCAAATATCGAATTCATAGTATCAAATTCAACTTTCTGTGTAGACTAAAGATTGTTAATTGCAATTTATTTGAGTTAAAATTTATAAAGTATTGATCTATGGTTTTTTTTCTGAATTTTGGAGAAAATAATTATGTACTCCATTCTATTCCGGGGATTCACCCTATTGATTTGATTTTCTGTATTTTCCTTTTTCAGAACTCAGGGACCATTAGAATTCCCCTTACTTACTTAATTCGAGCCCTGTAAATTATTCGGAAGGATTATAGGGGATCTCCAGGCGACGATAAATTCCGCCAAAATAGTTTATTACAAAATCATCTCTGAGAAGTCAGGAAGTAAACAACTGTGTGCTATGTCTATGGGAAACCAAAACTAAAGCCACAAAAATGTATATGCTATTTCATAGATGTGTTATATATCATTTAATGTGATCAACATTTTCTTTATTTTATTTTTTTCAACATTTGTTCAGCTTTACAGGTCATCAAAGAATAACAAATTAAGTGGTTTGGACACCTAACAAGAATGCCCTGGTACTATCCACCACAGCGAGCCATACTAAAACGTTACAACGGGTATAGAGCGAATGGAAGACTTAGGAAAATATGGAGTGATGGCATTAAGAACAGCCTTACAGAAATGAACATCAGTTTTAAAAGTGCTCTTGACAGAGCTCATCAACAAACGTTACACCCCCCCCCCCCCCCACCGGACAATTCACTAAAAGTATGAGGCAAAAGAGAAGAAGTTCAGCTATTGGGGGGGGGGGGGGGGGGGGGGGGGGGAGAGAATCATAAAAATGGGTATATTGACAAAGCATACTATCTTGGATGGTTGCCAGAGTAACTAATGTAATTCTTTCGTTAATATTCTTTTCATGAATCAATTATGAGGTCCAAACCACTATCTCCAATTGTCTGGCCCATTTATCCCTTTGAAGCCCAACAAAAATGCCCAGAGAGGGTAACTGAAACATTCAAGGCATCACCTGCCCAGGTGAAGCAATAACGTTCAAAATGAAGGTATACAAAGCTCTTCTGCTTCTGATCATCTACTTAATCAGCACTTGCTTTACTCTCCTCTCTTATTTATCAATCAGATGAAACATGTTTTTAAAACTGCATAACAATTACCCCAACCCCGTGACAGAAACAGTACATCAATAAAATAGTTTTCATTCGTTAAAAAAAATGTAATTTTTTTTAATTCAAAGTGAAGAAAAACAGATTAATTAAACTTACACAATCATATTTTTGGAGACAGCTCGTAGCAGGGCTTTCTTAAACTTATCTGGCCTTTCATCCACTTTGAAGTCAGGGTGATACTGGGAGATATATTTCTTGATCTGATTGGCTGATGCTGACTTTGGCTCATGACATGCAATTACAGCAGCGCAGATCCTATCTTCAATCTGCTCAGCTACAAGTTTGGAAAGAGAAATTACATTTTAAAAACAGGTCAGATCTTATCATCAACATTGCAGATCCTATATTTTAATCAAGTCAGCTGAAAGTTTGCAAACTGAGAATACAACTAAAAGAAAAAAAGATAACCCCATCTTCAACATGGTCTGCTGGACGTTTGAAGAGAAGTGAGTCCTAATCTGGTCACCCCAAAAATGCCGATATCTAGGGTTGTCTGTATTTTTGTTTTGTATATCTAATCAGTGGTGACTGCTCTTGCTGGCTGCAGCTGCAGAGTGTGCAGACATGGTGGGAGTGATTATATTCACCAACAATTTTTCTGATACCATTGTGAATTTTGTTTCAATTGTGGCATCACCATGCCAGATAATTTCATACACATTGCTCCTTGAGAAAAAGTGACCAAAACCACATTTACATGGTTAAAGGAAAGGAAATCCAGTAATTCTTTGCTCCATTCGCATTTAGTGAATACTTCCCTTAATGTAGACACACACATTTTTCTAATTTTGTTATTTAGTTACTGAAGAGAAAAAAGTGTGCACTTTGCTGTTACCAATGAAGCAGAAGACATCACATTTGCCGTCTGATCCAAGATCTAGGTATCAGATACCCTGGATATTTTCAAAAACTGCCCAAGACTCAAAATTTCTTCTTCTCTTTCTCTAATTTCTTAGGTTAGGGTTTAAGATGAATTTTTTTAAACAAAATCTGAAATAAAGGAATTGTTTTTTTAAAAAAATATTCTTACAACGCAAAAAGGTTAAAACACAAGGTTTTCAAACCTTATGGGTTTTTTAGAAGTAATCAAACTAAATGACCAAGTTTTATTTGTTTCTCTTTTTGACCTTTCTGTGGTTGGTTTTTGTGGCGACTGTTTTTTACAAGATGAGGCAGCCAACCCCAAGCCTAAGCTCAGTCGCCTCCTAGGACATGCATACTAGGGTGCTATGTTACTATTCTTTGGTTCTGGTAGAGGCCCCGGTAGCACACAGGTGGAGTGCTGCGACGGTGATTCTTAATTCAACAATCAATTGAAATTAACAATTGACAATGCCAAAGTAAGCCCACAGACACACCTGCAATCATTATATGGTATGGAAAACTAGGAGCCACTGTAATGTAGTGGTTATACACTACTTGCCTGCCTTCTGGCCTCAAAGTCTAGGAGGATTTGTATTTGCACTAAGGCAAATTTGTATGCCTGACTTGGGCTCCCAGGTCGGATCAACCAGGTTCATACCCCGATTCACCGACTTGTTTTTAATTCTTATCAAAATCGCCAGTTTAACCTAAAATGAGCGCCAGGGACATGTCTTATGCTTTCCATATGAGTCCAGTAACATACGGATGAACCATACCACTAAACATTATGTAAAGCATTTCGTTTCACTAGAAAAAACCAGAAATATAAATTTACTTATAATCATGTGATTTGTTCTTTTTCTTCTATTGTTTTCACCCATAAAAGGGTGGTTGGCATACTGTGGTGTGTGTTTACAGCTAGGCTATAAAATCTTTGCCTTTCTGTCAAACATAAATGAATTTAGCAAGCCCCTAAACAGACGCTTTTTATGATATGCTTTTTACGTTGCAGTGAATCAATTCTCTTTCCCCACTCCCAAACGGCTCTTGAATCCACATAAAGTTGTCTAATTTAATTGTTAAAAAAATTATTATACTACAATAATTAACTGAAATCATGCAATGAAATTTATCTGCAGAACTGTGGAAAGTAAAGACAGCTAGCGTGGTAAGCACGTCACACATGGGGTGTCGACTAGTTTAAACAAAAAGGGATTCTATCATCTATTGCTTGAAGTAGGCCACAATGTAAAGAAGGTTCTTTACTTATAGTCTATAAAGCTGCTGGAAATGTGAGAAAATAAACTGAACTGATCACACGGGTACTTACATGCTGGATTGAAATCATCCATCAGAAGATGCACAGAGCCTGTGATTCCAGAGCCGGATACATGCTCCCAGTAGCCTCTCTCAGCCCCACTGTCTACAGCTTTACGCCATCTGAATATTGAAGAATTACCTCACATTTTATTTTCTGAAGTATTTACACTAACTACGTGGTCCACATATGTGATGATTTAAAGACAATAAAGGATTCAGAAAAGAAGAGGCATGACCCAATGCATGCAAACTTACATACAGAATATCTCTAAAAAAAAGGTAAAGTAAAGATGCATTTTCACACCATAGGCGCATCAGGCATACGGGAAGAGCGTCCCATATTTTTACAGACCAATCTGCACTGGATGGGTAATGTGGTCTGCATTACGCCGGCCGTCTTTACTTCCTCAGGACAGCCATCCTGGTACCCATTATAGGCTGGGTCGACCTGTGACGCCCTATACCATGATAAAAATCCACGCAGCCAGCAGCAGGTTTCGAGTGCGGTACGTTGGATTATGATTCGGATTCGCAACGCCTAAGCCACGGACGCTGCAGAATCTTTATTACTGATATATAATACATTTTCCCTACAATGGCTACAGTAATGTAAAGATAAAACAGCATTAAGAGTCTATGGTTAAGCACCAGCAAGGAAATAAAAATTAAAATTTTGAGATGTTGCGTCTTTCATATAGCAACATACGGATGTGAGTCTAGCAACGTACGGATGTGAGTCGTGGGTTAACTCCCAGTCTTCAAGAAAGAGAATAGGAGCTTCTGAGCTGAAATGCATAGACAGATTCTGAGAATACCAAGTACAAAGAAGAGAAGATATACTGACATTTTAAAAGATCTGAACATCAAGGAAGATTGGTTAAAAACAGCATTTTGTCTCAGAAGCTGAAATATTTTGGTCGTATCAAGCGTCATTGCAGATTGACAAAATAAATAATAGCAGAAGGCATGGTACCAGGAAGGAGGGGCAGGGGCCGACGAACACAAAGATGGATATAGGATATAAGTAACTCCTTGAAAAAGAAAGTACATGAGGTGGGAGAGCTGGCGAGACCGAATTTCTTCCAGGCAGACCGAGATGATAGCGAGAATAGCCAAAGACCTGCTACCTAATGATGATGACTTAGGAGAATCACCACACTTTGCAGCTGAAGATGTCTGAATTACATATGAATCGGAAAAGGCCACACAGAAAATGAAATATGAGATCACCATTTGGAGGAACATTCTAAAACAATATGGTGAAAAACAAATAAAATGCTTCTAAACATATGCAAATAGTAAGAACAGGCAGCGCACACTGAAGGAGTAGTTCTAAAGATATCTAAATATGCAGTGAAAGTGATAACAGAGCAGGAAGCAGTGCACTGTACAGCAGCCCAACATTTGAAATGAAAGATAAATCAGATGCAAGATAAATTAAAGATAGTTAATGGAAGGTCATAAGAGCTAGGTATAACAATTTAAAAAGTAATAATCAATCAAGAAAAATGATAACCTAATTTTCCTTGACGAAACCTCACCTCAGACATTTAGGCTGGCAAGCAGATAATAATTGGGGGAAAAAGATGAATATCAAAAGAAAGAGCAGCTTTCTAATAACTTTGAAGTGTCTGGAAGAAAGAATTACGTGGCAAACATAAGAATATGTAACTGTTAATATCAAATCAATAGTGCTGTATGAATCCGAAACATGGCAAATGACTCAGAAGATTACAAATAAACTACAAACATCCATTAGCTGATGCCTGTGCAGAATAGGGGACTAAAATAAGGATATTGCTGTGACTGAATGCCCAATTACAAAACCCTAAACCTATTAGGATTATATTTAGAAGCCCTTCTCTGGAAACCATACACAAGGAGAAATAGAGTGTGACAAAGAAAAAACTAATTGGCAAATTATCTTCACTGCACACAGAACTATTCAGTCCACAAGTGCTTGGATCCCCTCCTCAGAGAATCATGCAGTGAATAGTGGCTGACAAAAAAAATTCTCAGTTGGTTTCTTACTGTCCTGTGGCTGCCTGCAAAGTGCTCGTCTGGCAACACCTCTTTTAACATGTTGTTCTCGTAGTCAGCTCGTTGTTGCATATTCGGTCATCACTCGGATCTCGCAAATGTCTTTCTTCTTGTAGAGCATTCAGAATGCTAGCCTGATCCATAGCTCGTCCACCCTCCATAGTAGATTTACCTGCAAGCTTATAAGCCTGCTGGTTTCCTTGCATGCCAGCGGGCTGTGACACCAACATTAAACTGATATTTGTCAGCCCTGACCCCATCAGAATAGTGGCATGCTAAAAAACATAGAGAAACAAGAAACAGAGGGAGACTTAACCCTGCCACCATGAGACAGCAACTTTTTCAGCATTTGAGGGTTTGTTTGTGGCCACTAGAACTATTAAACAGCTTTGGTACTGGTTGCAACTGCATAGTGTGCAGGTGTGGTGGGTATGATTATATTCACACCTAATAAAAACTGACATCATGGTTACGTCATAATAATCTTCTTCTGACATCAAGTTGCTACACTTGGCTATGTCAACAAAAAGATGATTATCCCAGCTAAAGGGAAGGAAAGCGGTTAATTCTTTCCTGTGTCTGTAATACTATGAATTATTTTGGTGATTAGACAGCTGTGATTTGGCAGTGGCTATCATGCTTGTCTGTCTGCTTGGTGTTCATAAGTTTCAACCTTTTGGACTTTTATCGAAACTGAACAAGACTCCAAATTTATCCTGCTGCTTCTCTTCCTCTAGTTTCTTAAGGTAAAGTTTTAGAGAAATACAAGGGTGCTTTCAAGTCGGCGTCTCTTGCTTAGATGTTGCGAATGCGCTTCATAAGCCAGGGTACTGCATTCAATCCCAGCTGCGGACAGTGTCTTGCATTGGTTTCAATAATGGTACCAAGAGGCTACCGTTCAGGAAGCAAGGGCAAACTACTGAACTTAATATTTGCCTACAAACACCACAACATAAAAAAAAAATGCTGAGGCTGGTTCTGGTTTCAACGTAAAGGATACGCAACTAACTTTCATGTTAAAAAATGTTTTAAAATTCTGATGAAAACATAAATACAGACGGCCAATTACATGAGAATGACAAAAAAAGATGCAGGAGAGGACACAGTAGGAGAACTTGAAGTGAGTTAATTGAGGTTTTATTATCTACTAGAAGATAAATGGTAGAAGAAAGAGGTTTTAGAAAGTCAGAAAACTCCCAGGCCAATATCAGAATTTCACTTCTTGCTTTTTTTTATTTTAGTGATATCATCGTTACCCTCATTCAGCTCTAGTATGTACACCCACATCTTTTCATTATATAAGGAGTGTTCATTTGAAACCCATTTATACAGCACTAGTAGACCTAGCTGAGTAATTTCAACAAGAGCACGTAACAGTCATGTAAAAAGAAAATATCAAAGAATAAAAGAGCACATGTTTATCATTCCGCGAGCACTTTTTTCTAATTTCTGACCATTGAAAAGATGGTTTGGTTGATCATTAATTTGTCAAAAGAGCTCAAAGAGCAATGATGCAGTTTCTTTCAATCAAAGGAAAATTAAATGGAAGAATGCTGGCAGTATATGGTAACAAATACATGTTTGAAAAAAAGAAGAAGAAAAAAGTAACAGGCTGGAGATGAATGTCTGGGAGGGGACAAGGCAGAAGAGAAATGTGACACCCTCTACTTTGTAACATAGCTAGTTGTTCAAACATTATCCCATGCATTCCTCCTGTTAGCTGTAAGTCAACATCAATGGTACCCCAGTGTAAACATACCTGATATTTCAATTTCTTACGAACAACCGTTTGAACTGTGCCAACTGACACAATTCTTTTGTTAGCAAACATTCCTTAGGCAATGGTTCACCTATATTGCTTCATCAAGTTTCTCAAAGTTTTTTTTTTTCAATTTGCACCCAGTCTACCACTGTTGTCTTCAACACATATGTGTTACCGTACACTGCCTGCATTCTTCGAGTAATGTCCACTGATCAACATCCATCCAAAGAAAGAAACTTAAAAACCAAATTTTCCCTTAAGCATCAGTGATAGAGAAGTTATAGGTTTACAGCATGAGTCACGAGATACATGTTTTTTATACGCCGGGTAATGAATTCCACTTAATGCATCATCCTTTTTGTGTTTACTGGTTATTTCCTTCATAAATCTTTATATATTTCGAAGAGAAATTAAAAAATTTATGAATAAATAAATTTGTAAACAACATTTTTTAAGGCCAAGGATCTTTTTCCAGGAATTCTAGCAGCATCATGGCCTATTATTTTGTAAGATGTTCCCAGGGTGAAATCTGGTAATCCTAGTTTCAGCTTCATAGCAAACGGGTCACCCCACATATGCTCCGCTCCTGTGCCAACGAAAAACAAACGCAGCTCACAGTGTCACGCCATGCACTCAACTCAGAAGCTGGGCGACGAAACTACATCCTTCCAGTCTACAAATGGAGCAAAAATGCAACGGCCACCGTCTGGAAAAAAAAATATTTGCCACGGCTTTAAAAAAAAAAAAAAAAAAAGGGTGGCCGTACCTAGCGTCCATTTTGACCCGAAGAATTATATGAGGGTTAATAAACGGTCAGCCCAGCAGTACCCTCATTATTAGCTGGGGAAGGGACTTAGGACATTACATCCACCAGCAGGCGTCGCCCCTACAACGACCTGCCTGCCATCGTTAACGACTGTTCACCCAACAGCCATGCAGTTCTTTGGCACGAAGGAGACACCTTGAACTTGGGTTTCGTACTGCCGACTCCCTACTAAGTTGTTATTTTATGTTCTGTTATCACAAGTAATGTCACTGCACATTGGGCATACCCATGCGTGCTCAGTTCTCCGAAGCAGCAGCCACTCTAAAGTACTTCTACTAATTGTCCCCATGAGAAGCTGGTTATATTGTCTCCTTTCTCGGCCTCGAAGACGGCAAAGACGTGCATCACCATGCTTAACTCCCATGTCACGCAATCGTGTTAGTGTCAGGGATTCCTCATTCTCCACTAGCCCAGTTCGTACAGCGTTGACTATGTCTGCTCTGTCCATACTTTTTCCCGCAATCATTAGTGCAGTGCTTGCCAGTTGGTCTGCTCGCTCATTTCCCTTCACGCCCGCATGACCCGTGTGTGTAGATCCAGGTTACGGAGGTTAAGTGCGATTTCCTGATGCTTTCTATCCATTCAGAGCGCATACTGCCTGTTGCTATCTTCTGAAGCATATTCATTGAGTCTGAGACAATTACTACCTGTGTGGCGGTTTGCTCGGATACCCATGCTAAAGCTCTAGAAGCAGCGGCTATTTCCATTGTCCATGCTTGACGTGGTTGTCTGGTAAGCGCCACTGTCCCTCATGTATTGTTTTTCCCCTTTCTTTGCGCTGTGTATGCCCATGCTGACCTTGATCCGCGCTTCACGGATCCATCTGTGTAGATGATGGTATCTTCTGGGTCTGAATGCTGATCTATCAGTTCCCTTACTTCTGTGTCTACCGCTGCAGGAATTTGATCCCTGCAGTACCTTCCGAGTGTGATGACAACCTTAGAGATGCCATGCATGTCTACTGGTGTATTCGTCCATTCTTTTCCGTGGCTGATCACGTCTAGGTCACAAACCTGCTGGATTAAGTCCTCAGTCTTTGCCATCCAAGAGCGGCCCCTTTTGAGACGCGTTCCTTTTGTGTCGTGAATAGCTTTGTGTAATGGGTGGTTAACATCTGCCGATACCCTCATGTAAGCCTTGACCTGTGCCACTTTGTATCTGCTTGTCATAGTCGGCAGACCCAGGATATAACGCATGGCCTTGCAGGAGGTGTCTTTTGTATAGCCGAGTATGAGTCTCATGGCCTCATTCTGTACTCGGTCCAGTCTTTCTAGCTGGGTTTTGCTGACAGTGAGGAGGCCAAGACCATAGTCAATGACGCTAAGCACAAGCCCTTGATAGAGAAGGAAAAGTAGACGTTGTTCAATATCAGCTGCTGCTAGCACCTTGAGTGCTGTCAAACCTTTCCTGGCTCTAAGTATGACGTTGTCTACGTGGCATTTGTATGACAAGCATCTGTTCCCAGGGTGAAAGAGTTAAATATCTACCCTCTAAATGTGGACTATGTTAACTCACTAAGAGGCGATGTGGCTCTCAGATTGATACGCTACGATAAAAAATATTTGGGGCAGAAAATGTGCTGAAATTAAAGCTGCCTGGAACTGAAAGACTTAAATAAACCAGCAGACAAGATCCATGGGAACAGTAGATTTGTCTGTAAAGAATAATATCAGTCTGCTAACCTGGTATCCGGCACCGTTTCTCCATACTTCTCCTGTATGTATTTCCTTATTTTTGGCAAAGATGCTGCTTTGGGGGCTGACTGATAAGTGATGGCAAGGGGGAATATATCCTCCATTTTCTCTGGATTCCCATGGTGCAGCTTAGACAAGCTGATCTTTTCTGCCTTTTCTATCGTGAAAAATATAAAACATTTACATGAGTTGTCATTCAAAAATCAGCAAATTTGGCATTAACAAAGTAAAATTGCTATACATTTTTGAAAACATTTCTTCCAACAAAAAACTTTTAATAATTTCGCAAAATTTTGTGTTTCATCATTCTGTGTTCTTTTTCTCTGTGCAGGTTCCAGGACCCAATTTGGGGGTAGGGTTAGGGGGTGACAGACCCACTGCCCACCAAAATCACGTCATAAGAGATTAATAATTAGGGATCTGGTGAAATCAGATGTACTGGGACAACAGGTGCAGACATCACAGTAAAGCTGAACATCACAACACAATGTTCAACAGTGAATGTCAAAGAAAAAAAATGATGTTCCTTTTGTTTTTTAATATCTTCACACCCCTGAGTCTGAACACAGGTACCACAGCTATTATCCATATGTAACGAGCAACACATACCAAATAATCCATTTAAAAGAAACTGGACGAAATAACTTACCAAAGTAAGGCCATAATATACTCAAAGAATCTAATATGAGTAGACCATATAAAAAAAGTAAAAACCCTTTTCCACGCCTTTAGGCTATAGGGCGCATAGGGCTAGGCCTATATTTTTATTGACCAATCGGCACAAGATGGGTGATGTGGTCAGCATCACGCCAGCTGCCTTTACTTCCAGGGACAGCACCCGGTACCCATTCAAGGCTGAGTCGACCTGGGAGCCAAGGTCATTTTTAAAAATAGTCCGGCTCTGCCAGGGAGCAAACCCACGACCTTCCAATCCGCTGCGAGCATCTAGCCGCTAGGCCACGGCGACTCCCAGTAGACTATATGGCAGACCCAAAAAAGACAGTGAAGAAAGAATATACAGGCAGCCTTAAGAACATCTGGAGTCACCATGTGGGAAAAAAAAATAATAGTAACAATGGAAAGGAGATGTCGGAGAAAGGTTGCAGGAGAGCAGCAGGCTATCCCTACAGACCAACCTTCGCGACCGGGCGACCCTTCGGCGACCCGTTGCCGGACAATGGCTCGTTCGACCCAGCGATCTTAGGGCCTTCAATATTTGTCAGGTGGCTACCCATCCGTGCGCACTGCCCGTTGTCCCTGCAAATTATGGAGCCCCATGGCATTATTAATTTTTAAGTTAGAGAACGATTGCAGCGTAAGAATATACTG